TTAATAACATTTTTTAAAATTGATAACACATAGTAGCGTTTTTTAAAATAAACACACCAAAAATGTCATTTTTAAAATTGTCTCATAGTAATAACATTAGTCAACTTGATTTTATAAATTATCTATCTCAAAGCGCTTTAATCATTTTTCACCATCAAATAATTTTCTTGAACCGCATGTTAATTTTCACCAATCAAACATTGTTTCGTCCCGCTTTTTACACAAATCGCACTTGTTCTGCATACTTTTATCCGCACGAACCGCATTTGTACCATACCGCACTGCACAATTATCTTACCCACCCCGCACAATTCATTATCACCATTCGGACCTTTAATTTAATAAACTCCTCAAGTAACACTCCTTGTTCTTGTAGAATCCCAAACTAAAAGTCTTGTCCTTAAAAGTTTCTCTAACTTTATTGATTCTTGTTTATTACTTTATTGATACTTATTTATTTAATCACTTTTGTAAAAATATTTTAGTAAGCAAAAGAATACAGCAAACAATCTCAGAGTTTATTGATAATTTTTATTGGTTTTAATGGTTTCAGATTTTGTTTTAACTTTTATTAATGGTTTGAGATCATTGTGACACCATATATATAAATAGTTGATGTGCCTCATTCATCTTTTGAAAGAAGTAGTTTAAGATCCTTGATTTTCCATGAAGTCCTCCAATAAGATCATCCTACTAATTTTCTCAACACTATATCTCATTTTAGCTACAGAGAGTCAAAGAACTAAACCATCCGAAGAAGAAAAAAGAGAACTCAAAAAGCTACTCAACCATATAAATAAACCCCCAATCAAAAGTTTACAAGTAAACTTTAGTTTTTTTTTTTTTTTGTAAACAAACTTTAGTCTTTCTTTCCTTAAGTTTCTGATTGTTTTCCGAAATTGTTGAACGTTGAAGTTTACGTTTGTCTTATTTATGAAATTGTTGAAATTGCTAAACACTATCTACCGTTTACGACAACATAAAAAAAGGGAAGGGAGTTTACACGCCTTAAGTGATTGAAAATAAATTAGCAAAATTATTACGCTTTTGTACGAAAGAACTACAAAAGCAATCATATATCATCAATACTATTTCATTTTTTTTAATTTTCTAAACAAATTTGAGGTTGAAAACCTATCTAATAAAGCTATACAAATGTTTTAGAACCTCATATATTTGCACTTTGGATAAGATAAAACCAAACGGCACAATTTTAAACTCACTTTGAATCTATGTTATTTTAAGAGTGAAACTATCAAAATCAGAGTTTGTTAATATCACATCTAAAAATATTTGGCCTTCTATTTGGACAGACCGAAAATGGTGATATATTGGATTGTATCGACATTCAAAAGCAGCGCGCCTTTGATCATCCTTTGCTCAAGAACCATTATATTCAGGTTAAATTCTATATTTTTAAAATGGATTGAACTATGATACATAAATATAACTATTCAGGTTTTATCTTACAAAATACGAGTAAATCTTTTTAAAATTCCTTTCTTGCTAATGAATTGAAATGATCATATGCAGTTGAAGCCTACAACTATACCTAAATGGACCAGAGATAACAACACTTTTCAAAAATCTACTTCTTTGCCATTTCGACAAGAAAACATAAGTTGTCCATTTGGTACAGTGATTGTTAAAAGAACAACACTTGAAGATCTTATACAAACTCAACATTTGAAATCATTAGGATTCAACAATCCAAATTCAAAGGATCACAAGAACATTGATATGATTGGTCATCATGTAAGATTCATTTCTTGTTCATATAATTGATGAAACCCTAACATGTGCTTAATT